GGATTATCGACTTGTTTGCTCTGAGCTGAGAGTGATCTGTGATGGGTCTTCACTGCTCTCTTGCCTCCCAACCAATCTTTGCGAGTGCCTCAGACCATCCTTAAGCAGTCTGCAAGACTTTAGTGCACATTTTGTAAAAGGAACAGTGCTCACTCAAAAAAGATGATATGAGCATTTTTTGCCCTTTGCCCTGCTTCCCTCTCTCTTTCACTCAATCTCTGGATAAACACAGCCACAGGAAATTCAACACTTGGGATGCTCAGGATCAAAAAGGTTCTTAACAGCCATTTTTCTCCCTCTCCCAAGATACTAGAACTTGACAGCATCCAATGATGCTGATGGGCAGTAGATTCAGGATGGACAAAAGGAAATACTTCTTTACGCAAAGAGTGATTAAAATGTGGAATTCGCTGCCAGAGGATGTAGTGATGGCCAGAGGAACAGACAGCTTTAAAGAAGAAGAGGAGATTGGATTTATACCCCGCCCTTCATTTGGAGTCTCAGAGCGGCTTACAAACTCCTTTCCCTTCCCCTCCCCACAACAGACACCCTGTGAGGTGGGTGGGGCTGAGAGAACTCTGACACAAACTGCTCTTTTTCAAGGACAGCCGTGCCAGAGCTAGTGACTGACCCAAGGTCACATCAGCAGGTGCAAGTGGAGGAGTGGGGAATCAAACCCGGTTCTCCCAGATTAGAGTCTGCACACTTAACCACTACACCAAAAGTGGCTTTTAAACGGGGATTAGATATGGAGGATAGGTCTATCAGTGTCTACTTGCCATGGTGATTGAGGGGAACCTCTCAGTGCTAGGAAGAGGAAACATCAGAGAAAGGTCTCTGCCTCTATGCCTTGTTGTTGGATCTCCAGAGGAACTGGCTGGCCACTGTGTCCGACAAGATGCAGATCAGATGGACCATTGCTCTGATCCAGCAGGGCACTTCTTATATACCTGCGGTCAGACAATAAGAGGAGTTACCCCGGTCTCCTCCTACACAGAGGCAGAAACTAGGAATCTGAAGGTCATAGTATTATTAAAATTATCTGTGTTTACCCCAAAGGAAGACAATCCTGACTGTAAGATGGTTCTCCCTTAAAAAAAAAAAAAGGGTTATACACAAAAGGTGTTGTTTTTTTCATTCCTGTACATAACTGTAACTTGCATGGAAATTTAAGACAGCCCTTTTCTTGAAGGCACGTGTGGAGGAAAAAACTCTATTCTTCCTTTTAAGGTACGCTTTCTTTTCCATTTGGAATCATGAGACATGTTCTCAGGGCTAGAGATGAAAGGGCAGTGATCCGCTTGTTGGGAGGCTCAGTAAAGGCAACAAGACAAGTCCAGCTGCTGCCGCCTCTCCAACACCTCATGTAGTAAAACCCATTCAACAATACTGCTGGCGGGAAAGGAAAAAAAGGAAACAAGCTAGTGTTGACCGAACAGCATCATCACTTAGAAGGATTTTTGCAAAACTTTTGACTCTGGGTCAATTGAGCAGTGGGAATGCGGAATGTCAACCCCAGTTTCCTTAAAGGCAAATGGATATTCTGAAGTCATCCCAGATCTTACCAACCCATGAGACAGCCCAGAGGGGCCTCCTTTTTGTTATTTTAACATTTACCTATTATACATAAGCCGATCCCCAGGCTATCTTTTTTGTGTGTGTGTGTGCTGTTGAGGCATAAAACAGAAGCTTGTTCCAGGCAATAAGTAGTTATGGAACTGATTCATCAGGAACCATCCAATGTCTCTTCACTGCACACACCAGGAGAATTAATTCTACCCAAAGCAACCCTAACAGGTATTGATCTAGCCTACTTTTAAAAACTTCCAGTGATGGGATTGCTGTAAGATTCCTTGTTGCTTTGTTACACTGTCCAGTTTTCTTTATAGCGTTAGAATGGTTTTCCCTAATATTCCCGTACAGAGTCTACTCTTTGCAAAATTCTTGCCTGGGGCGATACAGACTCAGCTGTACTGTGAATCTGCATTTGTTGCTACAGAACAGAAAGACTTCTGGAAGGAATCAGGCCATCGCTTCCAGATAGCCTCCCAGGGTACAGTTGAGACCTCTCATTAAGCTGGCCCAACAAAAGATACCACTTTACCTATTCGGTATTTCAGACCAGAGTATGAGATGTATGAAATGCCCTGAGGTCTCGCAACACACATTCACATCCAGCCATCTGCACATTCCTCATATCTGCATCTTGGGACTGTTTTACGGCTGCTTTCCTACATGGTTTCAGAATACAAGTACAGCCATACTTACAGTTCCGGGCCAAATCCTGCCCTATTTTTCAATGTGGCTATTCACAAATGGATTTCTCAAGCCTTTTTAAAAAAATCGATAAATAGTGGTTATCAGGGACCCCAGTGTTATAGCACAGAAGGGTTTAATTCGCTGCTGCTGGCCCAACTTCAGATACTGTCTCTGTCCCCCAAGCTGCTATATACCCTGTCCAGGAAAATATGCAAGCAACATACAGGTAACCTGTACGTCCTCTCCCAGTGCAGCAAACAGCACCTCTAGATAGGCTGTGTGTGGTCAATAAAACAACTTGGGGAAAAGAGTACAAGTCCACCTCCCTCTTTGCCCCCCCCCAGTTGCTCTTTACTAAATAAAAACAAATCACTCATCAGAGTCATTTATGAAGCTCCCAGCATCTGGTCAAGTTTGGCCCTCTGTCTTCCTGTTTCATTGGCCACCTGGAGCCTGTTTCTCGTATTTTTTTTTAAAAAAGAATAAGAATTCCTGACAGCAAGGAGACTAATACTGCCATTCTAATAGAGTGACCAAAAATATTTGCATAAATGTGCTTCATTTGCATAATGCCTTTTGGTTGCAGAATCTGGACCACAGCAGCATTCCAGCAATACAGACGAGGCCTGATGTGTAATCTGCATTTAAAATATGCACAATCTTGTGCCAACATAATGCCAGTGACATGCTCAAGATTAATTATGCAAAGTATACATATATGTATGCATTGACTCTGTATTACCTGGTTTCAAGTTTTCTAAGATTTGGGAGATTCAGAGCCAACTGCGTGTGTCCCCATTTCCCCCCCAACTCCCCCCCCACCTTAGCAGAGCTCTCTTGGGATTTTACACAAGTTCAAAATACAGTATCACAATGTGAGAATTTTCTCACGTCTCCCCCCCCCGAAAAAAACAACGACTTCTCCCCGCACACAGAAAACTAGCATGGCTAGGCAGGAACCCCTCTCCCTAATGTGTGCTATTTCCACAGGCAGGGAGTTTTGAGGTGGAGAAGCATTCAGTTATGCAGACCTCTAGATCATGACGTGATACTGTCCTAGGAAGACTGCACGTGTAACTGATTTGTTATTAAATGAGTCCCCATCCCCCCCCCCACAAAAAACCCACCTTAGTAGCGCTCCCTTGGGATTTTACACAAGTTCAAAATGCAGTACCACAATGTGAGAATTTTCTCACGTCTGCCCCCCCCCGAAAAAAACAACAACTTCTCCCCGCACATAGAAAACTAGCATGTCTAGGCAGGAACTCCTCTCTCTAATGTGTGCTACTTCCACAGGCAGGGAGTTTTGAAGTGGAGAAGCATTCAGTTATGCAGACCTCTAGATCATGACGTGATACTGTCCTAGGAAGACTGCACGTGTAACTGATTTGTTATTAACAGACATACAGAAGGAGCCTGGAAGAGATGGGGAAAGGAAACCAATGAGTGTGTCCCCATTTCCCCCCCAACTCCCCCCCCACCTTAGCAGAGCTCTCTTGGGATTTTACACAAGTTCAAAATACAGTATCACAATGTGAGAATTTTCTCACGTCTCCCCCCCCCGAAAAAAACAACGACTTCTCCCCGCACACAGAAAACTAGCATGGCTAGGCAGGAACCCCTCTCCCTAATGTGTGCTATTTCCACAGGCAGGGAGTTTTGAGGTGGAGAAGCATTCAGTTATGCAGACCTCTAGATCATGACGTGATACTGTCCTAGGAAGACTGCATGTGTAATTGATTTGTTATTAACAGACATACAGGAGTCTGGAAGAGATGGGGAAAGGAAACCAATGAAGGGCAGAGAAATTTCATATACACTGGTGGAATAAAGGGCAGAGGCTGATCATTGCTCCCAGTAGAATGAATGCGGTGCTATCTCCAGGGGCCACGTTCCACTTCCTTCCATAACTGCAGCCCTCTCCAAAAAAGCTCCATTTGGTTTCTAAGTCAGCAAGACACCACAGATTCTCTGCCACCATGAGAACCAAGAACTTATTTTCCAGGGAACCAATTTCAGAAGCATATTTTACATTTGCTGAGTGAACCCCACCCCCCATGGATGAACAGAATACAAACAGCTCTGTCTCTGTTTGCAGAGCTAGATCCCCACAGTCTTGGTGTGTGCTTCTGGAGTTCTCACATGAATGGGTCTGTTCAGCTTTGTGGAAAGCTGCTCTCAAACACAGGTAAGCTAAGAAAGAGGTGAAAGCCAGATACCTACAAAAAGTTGCACTACGATCCTGTGCGCCCTTCCTTAAGCGCAAGCCCCTCTGAACTTCATGAGGCTTACGTAAAAGTATACAATGCATAGGATCAGGCTATAAATTCTGAAAGCCAAATTTAGTTAGCATCGTAATTAAAACTTAGTGTGCATTTGGCTTTAGTTTCCCGCCCCCTCCTGCCCAGGACAGGCCTTTGAATTTATCATGAGACATCCCCCTCACTGCATAAATGCACCCAACATTCCCCTCTACGGTACCCCCATGGCCCACACATCCACTGGAAGATCTGCTACGCAAACTGCCACCTTTTAGAAGGAAAGAGAGCACAATGCATCTGAAAGACACCTATTTGTATATAAACGATTCTTTATCCTCCCATAGCTGGAGAGAAGAAGAAAAAGGAAGAGAAGGAAACAGATCTTCATGCATTAAACTGAAGATGAAATGTACAGGTATCTTATTGCGAGATGCCATTTTGCTTTAAGAAACATGTTTATTGCACCATTTTTGAGGGGAGGGGAATGGGTAAAAAGTTCGGAACCTCTCTGGTTGGCGTCTCCTAGGCTGAGAAACCAAGGCGATGAGGTGGAACAGGGTCTTCTGGCAGGATTTCCTTTGAAAGATGAGGTAAAAATGTTTTCAAATTTCTGGACTGGTTGGCGCCAAGACTGGTCGAGAAGGAACCAGGTAGGGGTTGTTGTTTTTTAAAAAATTAAATAAATAAACCCCCCACACACACACTTCCAAGGAGCTTAGTCTTACAAGAGAAGCTGGGTGGAGGAGGGAGCGGAGCGTCTCTCCTTTCACCACAGGCCTGGAGAGAAAAAAAATTCACATTGATGGGAGGGTAGGAAGGTGCAACCAAGCTGAGGCACTCCCCCCCAATGCAACGAGGAAGAGGTGGGTGCGGTCTGCGGCAAAACTACAGAACCAGATGCCTCCTGACAGTGTACAGCGTGCGGCCTACCCCGTCGGGGCTCAGAATGGAGCCTGTGCAGAAGTGAAGGCGTCGGCTTCTTCCTTCCATGGGAACCGTGGAACCTCTCCCTCTCGGCAAAGGCTCCGTAGGCTGTTATTATACAGTCGTTACCCTCATGACAACCTCACGGCTGGAACTGGAGCCCCCACGATGTTCATTAGGCCGCAGGTGGCTGAGAATGTGCAGAATCGTATAACCACAGTGATGGTTCAAAATAGTCCTAACCCGCTGGCCCCGCTGGGAGGTCCTCTCACTCCCCGAGGAGGGGTTCGTCCGTGAATTCCGCCCTCCGGGCTTTGTGCTCCCACCAATTGGTTCTCCCAGGTCCTTGGCCTTGTCATAGTTCAGTACCTTCCATTGCTGGTTCACTGCCTGCCAGCGCTTGAATATTCGATACACCGAAGAACCCTCGTGGATAATCAGACCTGTGGGAGAAAAGGAGTGAGGGATGAAATTGTCATCTCAGCAAAGGAGCGGTGAGAGATGGCACTGCTAACTGGCAGCAATAAATGCTCCAAATTAGCATGGGGCTCTGTAACCAGCAGGCAAAGAGATTAAAGGCTTGGAAAAGGGTGCTCCCATCATGGGTCCCCCCCCTCTCTCTTTTCACTTCCTGTAATGTTAGAGGGCTAATTTGCATCACTAAAAGGGCGTGATGAGTTAAGTGTATGAGGAATGAGTCTGGTATGCAGGAAAGTGTTTACAATTACTCCATTCCAAATCCAGTTCCCAATGTCTATCTTCCCATGCCACTTCCAATTCAGCCCAAATCCGTCATAAAGCAGCCCCACTGCCGGAGCTGGCTGGCTTTCTGCGATTCTGCCTACGTGCAATTTCCACAGAGCCATTGTGTTGAGTTTTGGATCTGGCTTTTCTACATCCTGGCACAGCGATGATGCTCACTGTATACCCTGGGCCAATCACTTTCTCTCTGCCTAGCCTACTTCACAGGGCTGTTGTCAGATAAGAACACACTAAGTATGCTTTCGGACATGCTGAATAATACACTTCCAAGCCACTTTCAATGTATTTTAGTGGCTGTTTCCAAGAGGATTTTGCCATTTTGCACAGTAAAATCCAGTTGCAAAGTGCACTCATAGTGTATCGAAAGGCCTTATTCAGCACGTATGAAAGTGCATCACACAGAACCCTCAGAACAGGACAGGGACGAAAGTCGAGTTGCCAGTGGCACATTTCAATACAAAAAATACATTATATTATGTACATTTCAACGCACAGTATAAATTATATTATATACACCTGCAGTATACATTACATGGATCTGCACCATTTATTTTGAACGCATATACTGGGGCTCTCTTGGCAAACAAGGTTAATTTCTTTGGAGTCAATTGGGTGAACATTGTCCCCCGTCTCCTATTTCTTGCTCTCTCTCTCCCCCCCATGCCACCTCCCAGGTTCTAAACTTTCGTTTATTCATTTAAATATTTATATCCTGTCCACCCCCCTTGCGAAGGGACCAAAAACCAGCATACAATAATAGGAAAAACCCACACATTTCCATGAAATGGCTGCCCAGGCCATGAAGCAATTTTTGTTTGACGTTCAAAAATGAACCAACTCCCCCAATATATAACTGCAGTTGTCCAGTGTCATGTAGGGGTTAGTGTGTTGGACAAGGAGCAGGGAAACCCCAGTTCCGATCCCCCCTCCCACTGCTGTGCAGCTCGCTGGGTGACCCGGGGCCAGTCATTCTCTCCCATTAAGGGCTGTCGTAAGACTAAAATGTGGAAGGTAGAACCACACGTATCCCACAATCATGCTGTGTATGATTATTAAGGACAGTTATTCCGCCATCGAATAAATGTAGCACCTTACAAACTGTTTTATGATTTTAATTTGTTTTAATTTGTTTTACTGTTTTAATCTTTATATGATGCCATTGGGCCTGTAAGCCGCCCTGAGACTGCTTTGATGGGAAGGGCAGGGCATAAATCAAATAAATAAATGAAGCAGCTCGAGGTGACAAGAACAGACGTTCCATTTCTTTTGCCTCTCACCTTCCACCCTCAACACTACTGAAATTTAGATACTAACAAGTTCCTTAGAGCAGACGTTTATTCATATTACTCACACCATGTGCATGAACAGGGCTTTATAAAAAAAATAATCAAAACGATCACTGATCCTTGTGAGAATTATACTTTTCTCCATTCTGATACTGCATTAAATGTAATAAAACGTAACCAAAAATGTATATATATTAATACGCCTCCTTGACAATATGGGCTGCATTCAGACATTGTACCAGATACAGGGTTTGTCCATGATGGGCACAGCCACAGCTCGTTGCTACGGTCACTCTCCTTCCTTCCACAAATACAGCACAACTGAAAGCTTCCAGATTTGTGAAACTCAGAATTAAGCTCCAGTTTGCTGCAATGCCCGAATGCAGGTCCCTGAGCAAACTGGAGTCTAGGCCTCCCTTTGCCCCACCCCTGGATTCTAAATTAGGATTAAACCAAGCATTAACTACACCTTTAATCAATCATGCTTCCCAAACCAGGAAGCCTTCAATCACGCTATCAACAAACATCTGGAAAAGCTTGGAGGTAAGGGTATGATTTATCCGAGGGAGACGTGTCATTTGGTGGCAATGTGGGGGGGAAATTAAAACTTTCAAAAATAAAATTATTTCCAAGATAACAGAATGATCTCTCTTTCTACACATCAGTCTTATTTCTTGGACTCATTAAAAGATGATGTTTAATGTTATGCATACAGAATTGTGAGAAAATTTAATTCTAACAGCTAATTTAAATACCCCCAGGAAATGAGAGATTAAATGGAAGTACTGACAATGAAAAGCTTGCTGTGGAAAAACGATGTATATGAATAAATTGACATCTGTAGAAAAAGTTTACAGGAAACAGGATATAATGCAAATCCTAGGGTCCATTAATTTGATTTTGGAATAGAGTATACAAGGGAAATTTAACATATGGTGTAAATATCTATATATCTAATAGCCAAGGCGCCCCCTCTGTGTGGATATCTAAATCCGCACATCGGGGGCACCTGGGGGGCAGGGAGATTTTCCTGCATATTTGGGGCAATCCCCAGATGTGCAGAAAAATCTAAAAACTGTAAAAAAAATATAGGAGGGATATTTTTTAAAAAAAACCCAAAGTAAAGGAGTGCTCTGAGAACGGCTTTGCCGCCGCCACCACAGGGGACGGGGGGCGGGAGAAGGCTTGGCGGGCTGGCCTCACCGCTGGAGGTGGGGAAGGAGAAAGTTTGGTGGGCCGACCTCGCCGCCGCCACTGGGGGGAGGGAGGGGGGAGGGAGAAGGCTGGGCTCACCTGCTGCCATGTCTCCTGCTTCTACAGGCCAGGAGCTGTGGGGAATACTTCCCCCATGCGAGTATTGTGGGTCCCGCCTCTTGTATAATATAAATGATGGGTTGGTCTGTCAGCTATGGTAGCATTTTTGTCCTTTGAACAGGTGTGGTGTTTTTTTAAGACAAGATTCGTTTTTAAAACAATAGATTGTACCCCCACCATTCCCTCCACCACCCTCTCCACATGATCCAACTCCAATGAGTTATAAATATCATCTCCCGATTGGATGCTGCCCAGTGACAATCAATTGAGAGCCTGCCATCCCCTAACACAGGTCGTTACCATGCGACACGTGTTCCCGCTGGATCAATGGGAAATGGAAAAGTCATTCATTCATTTCCCAATGACAGCACATTGCTCCCTTCCCACAAGGACCTGGCTGTTATCATTCTGTCTCGCCAGAGCTCATCTGTCAGTGCCATAAACGTGGCTTCGGTCTCCTCAGTGAATGTCATCGGCTCCCAATTAAAAAAGGCTCCCGCACTCTCTTTTCCGTTCTAACTGAGGGTGTGTAATGCTAGAGGTAAAAATTTCTAGCCATCCTTTTAGAGCCCCCCAGGCCAATCATCCCCGGAGTGTACTGAGCCATATTTTATACCACCTGCATTTTCAACCACCTGAGGAGGACACTATGACAAACATGTGACATGAAAGACATCAGCAATCCCATCACCAGGAAATACCACATTGATAAGGTTATCCATCTATTTGGCAGGTTAAGTACAGATCTACAGAATTAGGACTTTGGTACATGAATCCAGAACCACACGGGGATGGGACAGTGATGTGGAATGTAGTTTTCTGGAAAAAATTTCCAGTGTTACATTTTTCTGTGGAAAATTTTACACCCCACATATGTAAATATACTCTGTTTATCTATAGTTGCCAGGCAAGGCTGTTGTACTACAAATCAGACATGTGGTATATGAAGCATGGACAAACCCTAGAGCCTGCACATGGTCTAGGCTTGTACATGGTACATTTACCTTCTTTTGCTAACATTATTTGAATTTTGCTAACACTACTTAAATATTTAAATTAAGTTTGGCTGTTTAAATTTGAATTGGAAAATTCTACAATTCAAAATTTCCTGGACAACCCACATCACTAGGCTGGAATCCTGGTTTCCACACTTCTAGTCTCTTTGAGGCCTGGTTTACACATACAACCCAATGAAGGGGTACAGGGGTTGCAGACTGCTGAGGTGGTAGAATGGGTGGTACCATTTCAGACTGCAGCCGAGGCATTACTTTGTAAAAAAATTTCCTTTGCATTAATACATTTTCTGGTAATGAAAAACTAGCACAAGACGTGAAGGGCTAGGTTAGAACCTTCCTTCCTGAAGTATTAATGTTTTATTTGTGGGAGGTTTTGCATAGGGGAGCGATGCACTAGTGACTCTCCACACCTGTAATATGTAGTGGTCCAGCCCATCCCACCATCTCATTCTGCTTGTATGCATAAGACCAGGCCTTAGATGCTCCCACCCTATCAGGAGACTCTGTTCCAGCTCTGATGTTATAAGCCAATGAGCTGATTGGCCCTTGCTGACCCTAGCTAAGTATAAATACTTCCACAGCAACAACTGTTAGGCCTTCCCCTCACAACAGGTTATTGCTTTGTTGTTTCCTCAAGATCTTGTTTAAAATTTTTTGTCTGTTTGTTTTTCATATGTTTGCATGTGTGCACACCTGGAAGTCATGGTGACCTCTGGTGACTGACTCTTACTGGGGACCTGAGGGATATTCAGAGAGGTGGCTGAATTCTGCTTTTAATTTCCATAATTTTAAAAAATGTTCATACCACCTAGCCTGATGGAGGGTTCTTGTGGGCTCAAAAGACTGTGCAATGCTTTGTGTCATTTTGGTGGGCTCTAATAAAAGGTATTACACGGATTTTGTTTATTATTTCCTTCATGCCACCCTCCTCTTCCCCACACAAGAAAAAGAATCTGCAGCTAAAAAAATAGAATTGTCTTCCAAGTCTTTTGGATCCTGTATGAATAACTACTTATTTATTATTCTCTCACATTCTTTCTTTAATGAGCCCTCTCCTTTATTCAC